TATTCAAACCAATTACATTGCTTCGAGAAGCTTACTTCTCCAGTTCCCAGTTTGCTGAGTGTGCACCTAAAACCGTTCGGGGACCGCAGCGCCACGCTCCCCGGAATAAACACGTACATCCCCGTGCGGATCGTTACGGCCGCCTTAAGACGCGGGCCGTGGCTCCTATCTTCCATTAAGACGCCGAGAGCCTCTATTTAAGGCGACGGCGGCGCCGCTCCGCTCCGCCCCGGCCCGGCCCTTTGTGGGGCGCGGGGGGTCATTTATATGTGGCGTATCGCGATGCGTATCGCCCGTAAAGACTCCGTTAATATGTATACCCGGCGGTTATGCATACGCGGCGGGGAGATAACCCGCTTCTGTTTTGTAAATGGGTATGCAAATGGCGGCCTGCAGCCGGGCGCTGCCCCGTCGGTCGCAGAGGGATGGGCAGCGCTGGGGGCTCAGCGTAAGGACGGTGATGTGATTCTCGGGCCCAGGGTACTAGTAATGAAGTTGAAAAGTGTGTTGAAAACGATGGACACGAAGACTCGAAGTTCAATTCGAAGTCAAAAGGTACATTGTGAGAACATCCTTAGTGTCCTTACATAGTACACGTGTAAGTTAGTGTCACGCGAACTGAAAATGATCAACAAATCACGAAATTACGAAGACCACAATCTTCCGGTAACTAATATCATTATTCCAAAAATGTGACACTCATGATCGGCGATGGGAATCGTACTTCGCAAGTAGAGGTGTCTGATTTGGGAGTTTGCGTTTCCCATTTGCGAATTCGATGTTCCGGTGTACGGGGTCGGGGAGCGAAGGCTAGGGTAATACAGATGTAAGGTCACGGCAGAGAAGGGGACGGGGCGGGGGCGGGGGCGTGAGAAAGACGTGGTGAAGCGCTGGTCGCCCATTCCCTCACTGCCCCTGACCCTTGTCCCCTCCCACGACAGCACTTTGTGCATCCTCCCTTCGTAGGGTATCACCCTATCTTCAAGCATTTCACGCTACTAATATATGGGGTAGATCTCTGACGTAATTTCTAGACGCGTTTTGACTGCAGATGTTCTTCGTGAAATGGTTTTTCACCTATAAATACGAGTACTGAAGAAAAAATAGTTTTCTTCTCAATGAATGCAATAGGACGGGTTTGCTCACAATGTCCGCCTTGTTACCGTTCTTACTGATCTTGCCAATGAAAAAGAACTATTTCATAATCAAACAAACCACACATTACCCATTCAGATGGCCTGAAAAAAAAACCACACACACACACACAATGGAAGAGTTCATGCTTCAAAATAAAAGGGTGAGAAAATACTTCAACTTGAACAGTAGTGTTGCGAAATACAGTGAGTTGAGACTATATGACGAACTACCAATAAATATCATAAACAAGTTCGTCATAATTGAGTGAGCTGGAGATCACGCCACGAGAGTCAACATTTGCCAACGCTTGAGACTGAATAAATAACAATAAATCTAGGCAAGACATGTACATACTAAAAGACACGATGTTCTATCATTAGTGGACGCTATTACGAATCTTCGATTACGAAAACATGCTTGTAGAAAAAACTGATGTAGTCAGTTTACATGATCGATCCATAGGAACTCTGTATGAACTACCTTATAGGAGAAGACTATTTCTCGCCCGTATTGACACTGACACCATTCTTTCCTCGTATTTCGGACATAGATGTTTTTAAACTTTGTTTTCACCGAAATAATTATAAATTAATAATCAAAGCCACTATCAAATTAAATTTTATTGCGTTCGAATTTAATGTTATTGGGCTGTTAGGCTCACGTTTGCAGATTCAAAACTAATCAAACCGTGAATTTTTATGGAGGAAAATCGTTCGTGCGACTTACTTCTGAAGCGAAGTAAAGCCGGTTGTCCCTTGTTATATATTTATTGCATGAAAAAAATCCTTAAACTAAAAGAAGCGACTGAGCTAAATTTACATCTCCGCTAGAAAGGAACATAATGAAATTTGCTTGGTCAGACGGAAAAGCAGGTATGATGGTCTCAGTCTCGCCCTTTCAATAAGGCATTATTGAAATGAATTGGTTTTTTATTAATGAATTACAGTAGACCCTCTTTGGCACGAACTCGCTTAGGACGAAATTCGTCATCAAACAAAACAAAAGAGAGAGAAAAAATGGGTTCCGCCAAGGAATCGTAATGATGAGGGTACACATAAAAATCGTATAACACGAACTTTTATAAGAAGAACACCTATTATTGGAATTGGTGCTAACGAGGGTTTACTGCATTAATATCGATGTAGCGTACTCACCTCCGTGCAGG